TCCGGGGACGGCGGGGCCTCCCCCCTCCGGGCTCAGGCTGCTCCCGGCGCCGTCTCTGAGGAGCGGGACCCGTGTTCGTTGCCGTGACCCCGGAAGCTGTCATGAGTCCTCGTTCCTCCCAGCCTCCTGACATGATTTCACGTGGAGAAGAAAGACGGGCTCTTCGCGGTTCGTCCTTGGCCAGAGGGCCCCGGAGAGATGGCTCTGCACGGACGGGGCCCGTAGGCGGGTCGTTCTGCGCCGAGCCCTCTGCCCCGTCCGCGTCCGGGGTCCGTGCGTTCACGCGTGTCTGATCCCCTCTGAGCTGGCTCTCCCTCCCCGGACACCGAGACGCGTTGGTGGCAGACGGAGCGAGAAGAGCGCTGGCCGGCAGTGCCGCGCTGTCGGGGGCCGCCCGGTAGCGTGAGTCAATTTCAGTGCCTTTATCACTCGAACTGTATTCACTTAGTCTGGCTGTGGCTGTGCGTCTGCTCTCTGGGCTTACAGTAACGCTTACGCCGTCGTGTTGCCGTGCAGAACACGCGTGTGTCCAGGGCCCGTAGGTAACGGCGTGCCCGTCTGTGGGCAGAGGCAGGACGGAAGACACGTGAGAGAGGGTTGGCCGTTCGCACGTTGTCGTTGCCCAGTAGAGACGGTGCTGGGAGGAGCAGGCGGTCCCTCGTCCGTCCGCCTTCGTCTGTGTGGCTGGGATCCCGAACCCGCTGAGGCCCACGTCCTCTGTCTGTGAACGTCCGGCCGCTCAGAAGACGTGACTTCTGTCCCCGGATGGTGGGGCTGTTAGACGGGAGGGTGCATGGTCAGCGGCTCACCTGTGACTCGGGAACGAGGTGGAGGGCCCAGTGAGGCCGAGGCCCGTCCAATTGGAACGAACACACAGAGCGAGTTTCCAGCAAAAGGGGAAAAGGATGGGTTTGGCCTGCGCCCCGCTGTCTGGGACGGCGGAGCCCCCGGGCCGCTCGCCTGCCTCTCCTTCAGCTTCTGAAGTGCAGCCTGGCCGCCGGCGAGGCCAGGATTTGGGTCAGAGACCCTCCGCGTGTGACCTGGGGCCAGGCCCAGAGCGAGCGACGCGTGTTTCACGGGAGACCTCGTTCTGCGCGGGCGAGGTTGTAGCGAAACGGACTGTGCCACGCTGGAAGGCGGGGCTGGGGTGTGGACCCCGTGAAGCAGACGGCGGCATCGGGTGATCCCCGGTGAAAATCATTCCCAAAAGAAAAAAACAGGCTTTTCCAGCCAAAACCAGAGCTCCAGACCCATGGCAGGGCGTCCCCTCACCTGTGAGCCAGGAGGCGGCCTGAAGTGCGAAGGCTTAACAGCGCAAAGAGCGCATTTATGATTAAAAGTTCATGAGGCGATCGTGGCTCGTCGGGCTCCTGAGCTGACAGCAGCAACAAAGTTATGTAAACGTTAACCATGTCTATTTAACGACAGTCACCACATACGCAAAGACATCGGCCCTCAGCTCTCCGAAGGTTGGTTTCCGATCGTCGGCCGTTTTAGGGACCCAGGGCCCGTTCACTGCGCGTGTGCGGGAGGGTGACGCTCCGGTGGACGGTCCGTTTACGTGGCGGCGGCTTGCGTGTGGGGCTTAGCTGCAGGCCGGTTGGCGCTCCTTCTGCAGGAGGAGGCGTCTGGGTGACCTCCCTATGGGTTTTTTATAATAGTTTTTCTTGTGTGTGCTTTCTAAATCTGTTTATTGCTTTCAGAGAGGAAGGAAGCGGGAGAGAGAGAGAAACATCCATGATTAGACAGAATCACGGATCGGCCGCCTCCTGCAGGCCCCCCACTGGGGATCAAGCCCACAACCCAGGCCTGTGCCCCGACCGGGAATCGCACCGTGACCTCCTGGCTCCTAGGCCGACGCTCAGCCACGGAACCGCACTGGCCGGGCTGCTGTTAAACTTGCCTTTTTTGGCAGAAGCTCATCCCAGCCGCCCGGGGTGGCTTTGCTCATCCCCTTCGGGTTTCCGGTCGATGGAAAGGGGACCATCAAAAGGTGTGGTCGCCTCTGGTTCCCTCTCGACAGCTCAGCTCTGTGCTGGCTCCGGGCGGTTCCTAGACGGTGGCAAAGCCGACACCCGGGTCTCCAGGGGAGGGCGGCCACGTCGGCCCGCGGAGACGGAGACGGGGAACCTTGTTGGGAGCGACACCCCTTCCCCAGCCCGTGCGGCTCACCCAGAGCCGCCCCCAAGTGCTCTGCCGGCCGACCTCCGCCCCCGGCTCTTTCTTTCCGGAGCGACGGGATCCCGGCTGGGCCTCCTGTGGCTGCGTGGGAAGCTGGACGGGGACGTGTCCTTGCGCCCAGTCCTGCTCCCGTCTGATGGGCTCCAGGGGTCGGAAGGCCTGGTCCCCCCACACCCACCGAGCAGGACTGGTCGGAATCTGGAGATCCACCTTCTCAGGGACCAAAGGCCACAGGCTCCTCAGCGGCGACTTGCTCCCAGGATGCCTCCGTGAGTTCCCCGCATGTGCCGCTCCCGCCCGCACTTGGGAGCCTGGGACTCGGGTTGGAAAGGGAGAGATGTTTGCCACCAGACGTGACGCAACCCGGTTGATCCTGCCAAATACCTCGCTTCCTGCCCTCCTCACGCCCACCCCCCTCGTCCTGGGGGCGGACTCCTGTCCTAGAGCTTTGAGGTGACTGCACGTCCAGCCCGATCCTCACCCTCCGTCGGGTCCTGAGAAGACGGAGGAGGATGGAGACGGAAGGAGGCCCTGCCTCATCTCTAATGTATTTCCATGCACATTTCCCACACGCTGGCAAATGCACAGAATAATTCTGTTTTAAGGAAATGTCTGTTACATCAAAAAATGTCTGGTAAAAGAATGGACACTCGGTGGAGCAAGGAAACATGTTCCCCCGCAGCCCAGGCTGGAGTGCGCCCGGGAGCAGGATCTGTGTTCTTTTCTTTCTCCTCGAATCGTGCAGTTCTCCGCGAGTCCCCGTACCTTTCTGTGCCTCAGTTTCTCTACCTCGAAAAGGGAGGGGATGGTTCTGGGGGGGCCTGCACTTGGGCGCCTGCTGGCAGCCTCGGGTGACGGGTGACGGGTCGGGCGTGGGGGCCGGGGTGACCCCGGAAACGCCGCCCATCCGGCCTCCTGTCTGCTCAGGGCCATGCAGCTTCAAGCACTGACTGAGCAAAGGCGAAGCGCGTGGGTGTGAAGTTGGCATCATTCCTCGAAGCTTTAGTGCTCCCTTCTGTTTGTCTTAAAAAGCAAGGGTTTCCTGTATCCCGCCGTCACGGGAATGTCACTGGGAATGAGACGGGCGGGTAGGGGCTGCACGGGGCGAGCCGGATGCTGTCGCCGTAGGTTTGCAATGAATGAAGCCGAGCCTCCTGCTTCCAGCCACGTCACCCTGACCGCGAACCGCCCGGCACAGGTGGACGTCAGGAGCCCCCGAGCCCCTAGTGCCAAAGGGCGGGTCCCACCGGAAGGTCAGGATCCCTTTCACCTGTGGGAATAGAACAGCATCCCCCCTACACGCACCCCCTCATGTCACTGTTGCACCCCGGAAAAGCTTAAGGCTGTTTTTAATATCGCTCCTGAGTCTGTCTTTGCCTTTTAAACAACCATTCCTTTCCTGTAAAATGGGACACGATCGGGAGAGGGCGACGGCGAGACGGAGCCTGTGTCGTCTGTGCCCCGGACGGTCGCGTCTGTGTTTCCGTGGAAACGTCCCGGGAGCTCCCAGTGGCCGCGCGTGTGTCAACGGCTAAGACCTGCTTCCCTCGCTGCGCAGCTGCCCGAGCATGTGCCGCCTGATGTAGACAGAGGCTGTTGATGAAGTTTTCCGATATTTACTACCCCGGGTGTGTTTTAAAATAAATAACGTTTCTAGCCGAACCCGCGTTGTCTGAAGTGTCTGCTCCCGACACGGGGAGGCTTCATCTCCTCCTCACTCCTCAGTCCAGGGCTCCCCGTTTTCCTGCAGAAACAGGAGCCCGGTCCCCTCCCGACGGAGGACCGGCCACCTGTGCACGTGGTCGGGGCACGTCTACGAGACAGGAAGGAGCCCCCATGTACCGATTACTTTCTCTTTTTTAATGTGTTTATTGGTTTCAGACAGGAAAGTAGCCAGTATTTCCTATGCTGCACTTTGCCTCCCGGGACGGCTCTGCACCTGCCGCTCTGTCCAGCTCCGACCGCTTCATTCCTGGGCTTGGGCCCAACCTGGCCGGACGGTGGGGGGCGTGCAGGAGGCGCCCACCAGTGATTCTCTCTCATCATGGATGTTTGTCTCCCTCGTCCTGCCTCTCTCTGAAGTCCATTAAAAATATGTTTTTAAAAGAATGAATTAGCCCTGGCTGGTTCGGCTCAGCGGATAGAGCGTCCGCCTGTGGACAGAAGGTCCCAGGTTCCATTCCCCATGGGCAGGTGCAGGGTTGTGGGCTCGATCATCAGTGAGGGGCGTGCAGGAGGCATTGATGTCTCTCCCTCTCCCTTCCTCTCTGAAATCAATAAAAAAAATCTTTTTTAAAAAGAACGAATTAAACAAACTAAATGCAGTTATCCCCAGATTCCTACCAAATGAGCCCTAAGCTGAACCCACCGCGCCCCAAGGACTTGGTCTCACCTCACTGCAGTTACTCTTCCCCCCCCCCCCCCCCTGCCCAGCAATTGGTCCGGCCCTTCCGCGTTCCAAACACACCCCGCCCATAGCTCTGGGCCAGCCTATCCGCGTTGTCAGTCCTGACTACAGCATTTGGTCCCACACACAGCCCTGATCTAGCCTATCCAGGTTTTCCTCAACCCCCGGATATCAGGGCTCTGATCTAGTCCCGCCCATAGCCCGGGTACAGCCTATCTGCTTTGTTTACCACCCCCGGATATCCGGGCTCTGTTCTAGTTCCTCCTCCAGCACTTGGTCACGCCCATAGTCCTGGTCCAGCCTATCCACGTTGTCAGACACTCATTTGGTCCCGCCCAATCCACTTTTCCATCCTATCGGCGCTTTTCGACTACCCCGGATGTCCGGGCTCGGATCTAGTCCCTCCTCCAGCACTTGGTCCCGCCTATTACCCTGATTCAGCCTATCCGCTCTGTCTGCCACGCCCGGATATCCGGGCTCAGGACTAGTTCCGCAGCCTAGCACTTGATCCCGCCTATAAACCCTGCTCCAGCCTATCCGCGTTGTTAGACACCCATTTGGTCCCGCCCAATCCACTTTTCAAGCCTATCGGTGAGGTCCGGGCTCTGGTCTAGTCCCGCCTCCCAGCAATTGGTCCCGCCCATAGCCCGGGTACAGCCTATCCGCGTTTGCCTCCCCCACCGGATATCCTGGCTCTAATCTAATCCCACTCCTGCACTTGGTCCGCCCTTAGCTTTGGGATAGCCTATCCACATTGTCCTACACCCATTTGGTCCCGCCCAACGCACTTTTCCAGCCTATCGGCGTTGTCCGACAACCTCAGATATCCGGGCTCTGATTTAATCCCGCCTCCAGAACAAGGTCCCTCCGTAGCCCTGGTCCAACCTATCAGCGTTGTCTTCCACCCCCGGATATCCGGGCTCTGGTTGAGTTCCGCCTCCAGTACTTGGTTCCGCCCATAGCCCTAGTCCAGCCTATCCGCATTGTCCGACACCTCGGATATCCGGACTCCCGTATAGTCCCGCCCCCAGCACTTGGTCCCGCCTCTTCGTTTCCCACATACTCTTGTTTTCCGGGTCCCGCTATAGCTCCGCCCCTGGCCCACTGAGTGACGGCTTCCGTATGGGATCCCTAAGGTCGCTGCTTAAAAGTGTAGTTTCACACACTGACCCCGCGTTGGCGTTCTCATTGTAAGCAGCACATAGTACTTTGATTTTGATCACTTGGTATTTATATTATAAAATATTGCCTGCAACACTTCTCCCCTCTGCCCGCCCATTCCCCCCAAGCCCGCTAATCAGGGCCTGGTAGACAAACCGGAAGTCGACATGACAGCCCGCGGGTGTGGGAGGAGGCTTTTGCCGGGCTGTACTGAGTCTGCGCGTGCCGTCCCTGCGTCATTCGGCCGCGACCAGGTTCTGCTCTTCCGCTTGGCGCGGTCCCTGGTCTGGGCGGTGGGTTGCCGGACTGGAGGTTGTCCCGGGCTACTTGCCCTCGGGGCTCCCCATGGAGGAGACAGCGCGCCCGGCTGCAGCCCCGGATGCTCGCAGCTCCCACTGGACGGCGACGGAGGCGCTGGCCGCGCGAGCGCAGGGGAGGTCGGCCCCCTCGGCCTGTGTGAGGGTGTGAGCGGCGGTGACCAGAGCGGAAGCCC